ATTTCAGAATTTCGTTGTGATATTTAAAGTTTCTTATATGGAAAAATAACGTGGTATTCCGCTTTTGCCCATTTATACAAAACGGTGAGATACGCTCACGAGAAATGTATATGTACATATATTGAATTTGGATAAATTTGATAAAACGGTTTTTGAGATACAAACATTTGATTTAAATTAGGCGTGGTCGCACCCACATTGCAAGCCTTATGCAGAAACGGGGCATGACATCCGTTTTCAATTTACTTAATAAATTTGAAGAACTTCGCTTCCAGAAGTGGCATTATATGAAAAGTAGGCGTGGTTATTGACCGATTTCGCCCATTTTCAATACCAACATCACTTCTCCTAATAATAACCTGTGCACCGAGTTTCATCGAGAAACTAAAATTTTACTTATGATAGAGCTTGCACAGACGGACGGACAAACGGACGAGCAGCGGTCATACAGACAGTCAAACATGACTAAATCAATTATTTTCGCTTTTCTGAACACATCTATATATTTATCTATAACTATCCCGTAATGCCGATACAATATTCTGAGGAGCTCCTATGAAGAAAAAAAAATTAATAAAATTGGTGCAGAAAAATACCCTGAAAAAGTTTAACTTTGACCCGCTATAACTTTTGAAGGTGAGCTAACTTTTTAAAACGCTTTGAGAGTTTTGTTGCCCTAGTCAAGTATTCTCGATCTGTGTTGGCCGCTTCCCCGTTAGATTCCATGACCCTAAAATTGTTGCACAGTGTAATCAGCGAGCGCTTGAATATCGACGGTCACGAATAAAAGCAGTTACGCCTACGCTGACACCATCAACAATGTTGATACTCAGTGTTCATATGCGATTAGTGTTGCATGACCTGCTGCTGACCGCCATTAATGCATCTATTATGTTGGTTTTGCGTTTGCGGCAGTAGAGATCCAGATCTAAGTAAACTGAAAGGCAATGGATTAAGGTCAACTGCGGCGATGTAATCAAAACGCCAATACAAAATGAAAAGTATGAACTCAAAACTCAAGAACAAAACAGAAGAGAATTCTAATTTATTTTTAAAAAGTTAGCTCTTTATTTGGGGTAGTCACTGCTAACAGCAAACACTATCATAATTAAAGGGCGCGTCAGAACATATGAGCTTATAAATGTCTCACAGTCGCGGATCAGTAGGAAGAATGAAGTGCCGATTGAATGACATTTCATACAGTTGGAATGTGTGTGTGCAGCGGCGCACAGAGTAGTAAAACACCCAGCCGACTACTTGCGGTCGCTTTGGGCGCCTTTATTGTGCTTTTGTTGATGTTTACGTTGGCGTTGATAGCAACTGGCGATTAAGGCAATTAAAGATGAATAATAAAGCGAACAGCTTCAGACAATCGGGTCTACATAATTGGAACGATCGAGATCTATACCTGGCCAAGGCCAGTCTCTTTAGCTTTAGTTGATAGGTTTGATATGATATGAATAACTCGTCGAGTTTTTTTTTTTTTGGCCAACTTACCCATTAGGCACGGAGATATTCGCTCCATCAAGTATTGCCTGTGCTAATTCGAAATTTAGCTCTTCTGCCGCATTTGTAGCTGCCCGCAGCGCATCCCAAATTTCTTTACGACCATCGAACGCCGGCGCGGTGTCCCAGAATTCGTCGCGTTTCGAACGCAGTTGGCCCTCGGTCAGTGGCACATCGGAACGCCAACGTATCGTCTCATTGCACAGGGGGCGATTTTTGCGCGATGGGCCCATTTGACCGCCGCCTAAAACAAATACGGCAAGAGAGTTAACGTGCATATGCCAATGAATGTGTGCATTGATGATAGCGCTGGTTAGACCATTTGGCCGAATTTATTACTCACCCGCGGCTGTTGTTGGCCTCGAAACGCTCGCAGAAGACACACTGACTGTCTCATTATCGTTGCTGTGTATGCCAATGCAACCACCCATATTTCGCGTATACTCGATGTGTTACGCGTCCACCAAGTCAGCGTTCCAGCGCCGGAAAACACGTTCGCACTTATGACCGTATGTGATCAAAAATATTGATGGATACGACGGAATTATATCGGTTCGAATTGGAAATGCAAATGTTATTACTGCGCCACGAACTGTTGCGATTTGCTGTTTCTACTTGTTATTTTAGTGAAATTTATTTTTGCTTTTTCACTTTTTCTCGCTTCATACAGCCGCGCCGATTTTTTACGACTATTTTACATATTTTTTCTTTCAAGCTTTCACGTTGTCTTGCCCTTTCGACTGTTGCACCCGCGCGACCAGAAACCTGACTCACTTTTGATATGTTTTTCTTCGCACCGTCGACGAAAACTTGGCAAATAATACATTTGCGTTGGGTAAAAATTTTGTTGGTTTTATATTTTCTCTATTTTACACTGATAATTCTTTTTTCACACTTTAATTTATTCACCAAACATTTCCGCAATATTCCCACGATCCCTGCTCAGAATTTTTATCGTCTTCAACTATTTCAATTCCATTCACTCATTTGACAGCTCCGTGCGGAGTGGCCACTTGCTGGTATTTTTCACACACAAATCACGTAAAAACATCGCAAAGGGGTGCATTTTCTGATTTGTTGAGGAGTTATACGGCGTTTCCATGCTTAGTGATTTGCTCTCTCATTTTACACGAATTACTTAGCGAATTACTTAGAGAGCGGATTACGAAGCGTGGAAGCATTGTATTAGAAAATTTACATAGCAATGATGGAAAATGTAGAGGGATATTCCCTTAAATTCGTTAAAGCCTCGAAAAGCTCGTAAAACTTACGAGACTCGTAATGCAACGTTTTTGCTGCATTTAAAATGCAACATTTAGCACTTTCGGACATATGTTTTCGAAGAGCGTTCATGCTATCGCATTTAGCAAATGTACATTTACGAGCTCGAAATCGTATGCTTTTGACAAACAGCCATGTTCCAGTCGCTTATTCAGATCCGTATCTATTACGATTAATTCCCATGTAGAAGATAATGAGCAAAAAACCCTACTGAAAAGGAAAAACAAATTTTAAACCAAGAATTAAATACTAAAACTTGAATTGTTTTCACCAAAACCGATCATTTGTTTGTGTATATATTAATTTGTCGGTACTGTAAATTAAAAGCTCCTCACTTAATTAGGAAACAAAACAAACAGAGTAGATTACAAATTGATCCAGATTTCTATCAGCATCACATCGATGTTGAATTTGCGTAACTTTTCTTTATCCAAATAATGTAAAATAATAAATAAAATCTCGATCGACTGAAACGCAGCTAGCCACTGTATACGCGAAAAAGCAATGTTGCCACTTTTTCTCATTAAAGCATGTTCGAATCGTGGAAATTCTGTAAGATCACAGGGTTGCTTTTAGCATTTAGATTCTTAATGCAA